AAAATTTTAACAAAGATAATACTAAATTGTATATTGCTTTTGGGTAAACATAACCTTTCAGACGGATGGCCAATTGTGACATAACATACGATGATTGGGAGGGTTTAAATAAAAAAGATTATTCATTACCTAACATGAATTACCAAGAATAGGTTTTGATTGCACTCAACAACAAGCCCCAACCATGCCGTCATTAAAAATTAGCAACAAACCCCACAGCTCTAGCGGATGTAAAGGAAGCATATTGTTTTTCTGTGTATAACATAGCATTTAAGACAAAAAATTTTTTTTTTTTTTTTTTTTTTTTTGTTTATCTCCTCCCCAGTTTCCCGGACTTCACACCCCCAACCCCCCAAAACCCTTAAAAAACCAGGTTAATTTCATACATTAATACTAAATTTATATTATTTCAAATATCAAAAATGAATAATAATAATTATTTTCCTTATATAAAACATGCATTATCATAATCCATGACTCTAATAACCCTCCTTTCGATATTACTTAATTCTTCATCCTTTGCCACTATGAAATTTATTACACCTTTCTCGTATATCACGTTTACCCAGGTTCCTTTCTCCTATTTAATTACAAATCTACATTCTACATGCTTATTATCCTGGTGAATTTTTTACACTTATCCACCTATATTATATGCTTAATTTATCATCGTTTCGTGCCGTGCTGTGTCTGCTTTAAACTTTAATTTATCCATGGTCACTAATATTTAGGCAATCACGTTTACATAATATTATCCACTTTTTTCAGGCCCCTCGGCTCCTGCATAAATGTTATACCCACGACCCCACGTCCTTTCCCCCCTCTTGTCCTCTCCTACCGTCTTCCCCCTTTTTTTATAGTGAATGGGTTATCGGGCCCCTCCTTGGACGAGTAAAAATGTCATACGCGTGCGTTTAGCTTCAACGGGTTTTTTCTTTTTTTATTCTTATTTGATTTTTTTTTTCTTTTTTTTTTTTTTCTCCGACCTCGCCCCCTGGTTCTCTTGCCTCTCTCTCCCCCCCCCCCTCTTTCTTCCTTTCTTCTCTCTATGGTCTCTTTGTCTTTTTTCCCGGTCCTCACTCGGGTTCCTTTATCTCTTTTCCCCCTTTCCCCTCTTTTTCCATATGTCCGGTTCATCCCAAGCACTTTTCTTTTTCTCCCCTTCTTAAAAGAACCGTGGCGCATGCAGTTTGCGATCTAGCTGATTCTCTCTCAAAGCAATAAAGAAAGACCTATTTCCACAGGTACTGGGTGTTCATTACTACAAGTATCATTCCTTACCACTTCTAAAACTCCAGCGAGCCTGTCTCAGATCTCTTCATCACTTCTCAAAATCCACCTACCTAAAACTCTATGACTTTCCAAAGAACAAACATTAAACTCTCCGCGATCAAACATCACCTCCACACGTTTCCAACAGTTCGGATAGTGCAGCACAATACCGTAATCTTCATCATCTCTACCACATGTATTAGGTTTGGGGCACTGGTTTTTTGCTCCATAACAGGTTCCCTTGTACCCTTTCCCACCGCATATTTCCCTCCCTTCTCCTCTTCATTTCATTTTCTGACTTCTCATATGGCTTCTGGTTTTGGTGTGGTTTTTTTGGAATAAAAATGTTGAAACCCAGGGGAAAAAAACAATGCCTTTTACCCTTATTCGTGAAACAAAATGCTTCCAAAACAAAGACAAAAACTAGCAGTTTCTGTAAGCAGGTGGCCCCCACATTTTTCTCTCGCCCCAAACTCGACCATTTAATTTTCACTCATAAATTTCCCCTAATAGATTAAACCTAAATTTCTAATGTACAATTCATGGTTTGTTGTTCTTCTTTCTTTAAATAATTGCCCCTCGCGCCCGCACTTTATCCTTTACAGAAAACAATTAGTTGAGAGAGATTAGAACATGTTGTAGAAGCTATCAAATAGATGTATTATTAGCTCTCGTCTAGGAGTATTGATTTAGTACCATAACACCCCCACCAAACGTCGCCGCCTGCGATTCGTGGCGATTGTGGCTTCGAAATAGCCACGATTTGGTTAGTTTTAAGTCGCTCTTTTTTCCATTAAACTGGTTATATACCCGCTAGAAAAGCGTCCTTGAATTTTGATAGAACAGTATCGACTGTAGGATGAACAGCACCAAATTCTAAATGTAATTTTGAGGCTCCTCGACCTGACACTTATCTTTTACAAAACAAAACAAAAAAAAAAGGAAATGCATGCGATAGCTTTTTTTCTTGATTTTGTCTTTCCATATCTCTATCATACCCTATCATAATTTAAAACTAATTTATTAACATTCAGCAAAAAGACATCACCCTACTGTCCCCCTTAACCATCCTACTTTCTTTCGCGCCAAATGAACATGACTACACTACTCACCCCCCGATCATTATAAATCGTTGCCAACAGTAAAAGAATTAATAATCTATTTTTGTTTAAAAAAACACAAAATAACTAATCACTATGTTTCTTAAAATACCCCATCCACCTTTTTTCCAAAAACTTTTATTAACCTTCTCTCCTGGTTCGCTCTTCGACTACCAAGTGGTTTGACTAATAAAGTTTCTAATTAAATACAGAGGGTATGGAGCTAGCTGGATCTACATATGCAAGGAGACTGAATTTGTAGTTGAAATCCAAATCTATTATTAAATTCACTACAATAAGGAAATGTTCATAATAGTGTCTAAAATTCACATTTTAAATACCTAAAAAATTTCTTCCCTGATTCCCTCTCCACGTCAATATCTCTCCCGTCCTACCATATTCCTCCTATCCTTATACCTACTTTTTTATTTTTCCATATCCAATAGAATCATCTTCTTCCGCTTTCCCCTAACTTACTTCAAAGCTCTTTTATCTTTTACGCCTCTTAACAAATTTTTTCCTTTAGTCTATGTCTTTATATAACTTTACTAACAAAAATTGCAACATGTTTTACATAAACAAGGCATTTTCATATTCACAATACCATATGATGCCCATTTTAGTTCTTCAATAATATATAATGCCTCAAATAAATTTGTTTTATGATATTTTATTGAGCTTTAGTTAGACTTATACACTCTGAGTGCCGGCCCCTTTTTGATTGACTATTTACGCGACAAATTTTAAATCAAATTTTTTTGGCAATGAAACCTCATTTTCAGTTAACCACCTACCTTGCTGTTTTTTAAAAAACTTAAAAATAACTTTGTCTTCAAGTTTCAACAGCTTCCTCCTCTTTTTAAAATTAAAAAAAAAAAATGAAATAAGATTGATGTGTACAATGGGACAATGTTACGTAGGAAGCAGACGTGCAGAAACGACTTTCCGTTCCTATGCTCCTCCTTATTTATGCCCCTATTGTGTCAATTTTCTGTATTTTTAAGGTACCCTAGATGATAATCTGATGTTTAACCAAAAGACCAAGAGTTTTGTGCAATCCTCTTTCTTTAACTGTCTTATTTACTCCTTGGTTCTCTGTCCGAGGCGCCGCCAACTCTCCACGATTTGCTGGTTTGTCTGGTTCTTGGCCTTCACCCTCTTTCACTTTTTTGTTTGTTCCTCCTCGGTTTTCCTCTTTTCCCTCCCCTCTTGCTTGCCGACTTGGGCGTTAAAAAAAAAACCTCTACCCCTTTATGCTAAAAAGTAAATTATACTATAGAATCTATAGAAATAGAAAATTCACGTATTCTCATCGCCTATTGATCCACGTTGTACTCTTTTTTTTTCTCTGCGCACCTCCGTTTCTCCTTTTTTTTTGCTTTTTTCTTTTTTTTTCCCGGTCGGGTTACTCTTTCTGGTACTCGAACACTAGGTGCCTTTTCTAACACTTAGCACAAGACTTCTTCCTGCCCGCAAAAATCTCAGAACCTGAACGACTTGCCAACCAATTACTCCAACAATCAATCAAAACCGAATGTAACACTGAATACCTAAACCAAATCAGCCTCGTATTTTATTATGTAAATAATGAGTCTTACATGGGTTCAAACAATTTTGTAATTCGCAAATAACATGTGCTGCTTCTCCTCTCCTCACAGACAAAAAAATTACCTCCTTCTTCTTCTACTATATGAGTAAACTGACTTCAAAACCCACGTCTTTCAAACTTCTTGCACTGATCATTAACCCACCACTGGGTTCAGTTTTAGCATTAGTTTTTTTGCTTTCTCTTTGAACAGACATAAAAACATTTTTTGTGCGATCAAATCTGTGAATAAACCACGGAAATTACAAATAAAGTCAGGCCTCCAACTATTGTTCTCTAAAAATCACCTCAACCAAAACGTTTTTCACCCTCAGAGACTATCCGCTTTAGCATAACTCCCAACATTCATCGACATGGAAATACCTCAGCTTTCATATGTTTGAGCACATGATGTACATAAATACTTGTGCACCAACCTAAATGTTAATGTGTCAAACATGAGATATGGGGTAATTAACTAAATAATACTTCGAATGCTAGTTTAAATATATGCTCAAATTATAACTAAATAACTTAAAAGCTACTGTTGTTAGAAACGAAAGAGGCAGCAGAATTTGTTTTACAAACTTTTTATCAAAATGTCTTATTTATTGAAATAATTTAAAAAGCACTTCCATAGTTTAACTATCCTATATCACATTATAAATCATTTAACTTAAAACCGTTGTGGATGGAGCGAAAAAAACGCCTATCTTGAAAGCAACAACATAAATGTACAGAATGTGTTAAATACAATATGACAAATCACAGAGCGCGATTTCAATTCATACATTTCAGGAATATGAACAAAAGTGACTTTTTTTACAGGATATGCTCATGGTTTAATTTCAACAGAACATTTAATGCTCATATTGTTTAAATGCTTAATCACAAGTTCATGAAAAAACGTTTTCATTGTAATTCCAAAACAGCTTCAGAAACATATTAAAGATTAGCATGTCATTGTTTTAAATTAAAGTTTACTACAAAACAAAATGGCGCAACACGAAATAGCGCTGAGGGAGAAAAAAGGGATCGTTTACCTCTTTCAATTATTAAAAAATCTTTAAATAGTTTCTACAATGAAGATTACAATAGCTGATCTGGTTCTAGATGAATTATCTTCCGAAAAATGTATCAGTTATCCATAGGATTCTTCAAAACAAAATTAGCGGCATTTCCACCTTGCAATTGAGAATCCCTTCAGGAAAAAAAAAAAAAAAAAAATACCATCACATTGTAACTGCTGCCAAATCATTAAACCAAAGAACTTACAACGGCAGAGTAATCCTACCTCTACTAAAGAGAGGCGAAAATAAACGTCTACGGGACTGCTTACAGGCATAGATTTGGGAGATAGTAAATCTAGTCAACTTTTACAGAAAATGCGAAATCTTGCTACTAATGACATTTCGAATTAAGTTCATAAAACATTATTTCTGCAGAAAATGCCGGATGCCGTACGCAATATTTTAATCGTTAGTGATGAAGATTGCTGTAGCTTGAACTTATGCAGATATTTTAAATAATGATTAATATCGTTTTATTTGTTTTTGGAATGGTAACAAAAAATGATTCAATTTTGTTGTTCTAAGAATTGTTTATAGTGGCTAAGAACTTTAATAAAGATTATTTTTGAATTTAAAAAAATGTGGATTGAAGTTATTTAAAGAAACGGAGTTCTAATTATAAATATCAATTTGGAATCAGGAGCCTATAAAGATGTCGAAAAACTGGCACTAATGGCCAATCGTATCATCGAAATGCAACCGCAACAAGAACTATACTGTGCCAGCAGTATTGTTTCTCCAAGAGCAGATGCCATTACCAACCAAGGAGGTTAGAATAGAAGGAGGGAAGGTTCAACTCAAACGGTGAAGCTTGGCGGCCATGTTACTGTTATCACTGTGACTTGTGCAAGGAAGTCTGTAATTGTAACATTTTTTTTTTCCCCTTTTCTTTTTGAAGCATGTCTTGCGTGTTTGTATATGGATGCACAAAAGATTTTGAAAAAGATTCCTGGGATTACTTTTCACGCGTAAGTATTTTCTTTTTTTTTATGTAATTTGATAACTATGGTAAAAAAATATCACAATGTCATGTTGTTTTTTTTTCCAGATGTAAAAAAGGGACTTAATAATAATCAAAATATGTTAAATACATTTTAATGTTTCTGTTTATAGCTGGAATCTTTGTTCCTTAACACACAATGATGTATGCTAGGATTTAAACTGTATAATTTGAACGTTTTAGGTAATTCGTTTGATAATTTTCATGAAAAATTAGACACCAATTGTTACTATTTTTATGGTTTTTAAAGGTATTAAATAAAGTAATGCTTTTCTTTATGTATTAATTATTATTCAATTTAAAATTTTTGAACTGTTAAGAATATAATTTGTGCATTTGATCAAGATAAACTGACTTTTCTGTTGTTAAAATGTTTTTGCATAAATTTACAAATTTCTGGGCAGTATAGCGATAAAAGTAAGTAAAATATTTTACACAATTGAAACGTACGGAAAGATGTATCCAAAATTATAGGTATATTTCTGTTAATTCAGCTTAATTCAAGGCAATTTCTTTGAGATTCATAAATATGAAACGCGCATAAACTGAAATCATCGAATTCACATAAATCTGTTTTATTTTATTAATATTTATTTCTTCTTGTTGATATAAGGTTGTTGGTTGTGAAAAGAATCTATTTAAAACTTTCATTTAAAAAAAATGCAACCTGTGACTATTTTTTAGATAATTATCTGCTATTAATTTCAGGAAAAATGATTCTTTAAAAATTATAATAATATTGCGAATAAATCAGAAATATCACTTCTTAAAGGAAACAATTGGAAAGTATACCAGACAGGTTGCTAATAAAACCTAAACAAATTCTTGAAATTTGCAGAAACATAATTTGTCAAGGCTTTTAATGTTATGCACATGCATTTAGATTTCGAACTATTTTCTAATGATTTTCTGTACGTAGTAAATTACGGGTATATCATCTTTATAAGACTTTAAACAAAAAACTAACAATAGCGAAGCATTTCATTATAAATTTAACATATTTTTAGTGGAAAATACATGCATAGAACAGCTTAAAAACACGTACTTTTCACTACGTAATGCAATGTTTTGAAGTTACAAACATGGACGCCGCTTTTTCCGTGGAGTTTTATTCCCCGATAATGGAGGAAACTGCGAACCCTCCCTCCTTCTATTCTAACCTCCTTGTTACCAACACCGACTCTACTACAAGCCAGATGGCGGTTTTGTGACGTCACAAGTTGTGGTCATCAAGGATTTGATCAACACAGACTCTAGAGTCTGTGTTGCCATTACTGAGTTACGAGAAACTGCAGCTCTTTCTTGTGGAACGATTTTTGATACACCTGGGTGCCTAGGCTAACAATTTACCCAAAATCGAACAAAAAGTTTCGAAATATTTTAGGAAGTAACTAATTTGAGATATAGTAAATTTTGAAAAGATTCACGCACTTCAAAGCTGTCTAACTGAATCTATGGGCCCTAATCTGGACACCGTCGAGATAGAAGAACGGGTCGCTTTTTGCGATCTACTCCACAGGGAGCGAGTCTGGTGTCATCGTCTCGATCATTACAGAGATTGATGCGTCGGAATGTTTCCGTAGCTGGACAGCTGCCGTTTAAGTTTCGACTGTCGTTTTAGAGCTAACTGAGGACGGCGGAGGTCACTGATGGTTTTGAAAGTACGTAATAGAATTTTAATTTCTTAAGATTTGTGAAAACCGAGTATTCGCTATAGAAATAACGCATTTTATGCGACGATTCTACATTATTTATTTATTCTACTTACCATGCTTTAATAAATTTTAGTGAAAAAAATAACTTGGTGTTCCTATTTCACATATAAGAAGGGGCATACTTTTAATTTAAAATTGTAATTTAAACTAATATATATATACATGTACTTAATTTCATGTTTGAGCGTAATTACTTTTTGAAATTTTATGTTTAAATATAATGTTTCCCTCTACTTTATTTGATTTGTAGTGTATAAAAATGTATCCTAACATGTATTAAGCCTGCTTCTCTTTCAAAAAATGCATCCCTAATTCCCCTTACTTACATGCTTTTGAGTTAAAAATTATTTAATAGTTTTAAACGGTACGATCTCAATGTCAATTTCCATATTTTCTCCCTTCCTGTATAAAACAAGTTAAATTCCTGTTCTTGTCGTTAATTCTTGTGCTATTCTAATGCAAGTTATAATTAGTTATCAATTTTAATGTATCTGCTTGTAGATAGACATCATTTGTGTATATTTATTCAGATGAAAAAAGGCTTAGTTTTGGTTTTATGTAATCGGAAAAGCCTCGGGGCTACCTGCCTAAAGTGAGGGTTGCCTTCGTGGAGGACATTTTAAGGAAACTAACTCGTATACGCGTACACAGGGGAAACCACGAAAACGCCAAGCAACCAGCCCGTCGCGGGATTCCAACCTTGGTATTTATACAGTTTTATATTATTGTAATTACATGTTATTTAATAA